TGGGGATTTCCAAGTCCTTCCCCCCAGCCTACTGAGTGCAGGTTGACCCTGTTCTTAAGGGCTGAGGCTCCGGAAAGGCCTGCTGCCCTCTTCCTCACCTGGAAGAACTTTTAGGAGAATTCCTGAGACCCCATTAGACATCCTTGGATGTTCTAAAATATTTGGTGGTGCCTCGGCAGTTCCCTTATTCTGTGAGTATCTACAGGGCCCTTCCACTAAACAGTATAATCTCCGAATAAGACCTTGTTTTTGGACAGACTGACTTCTTACATCATGAAATGGGAGACTTTGACAACATCCTAGGCAGCAAATGGTCATCATATCTCAGACTTCGGAGTCTTCCCGTCTAGTTTTCTGTGGAGGACGCGGCCACCGATGAGATCCAGTTGGGGCAGGGGAGTCCGTGATGTTTATCACAGGTACGTACGTCTACCTTCTTTTAGTGTTCAGTGATGGTCCCTTATCCATCGGCGTGACCTAGACATCGTTAAATCTACTCACGTTTTCTGATTTCATCCTGGGAACTGTCAAACGGCAGCGCCACCGCGGAGTCTGGGCCAACAGTTTTCTCCGCCGGCTTTCTGCAGTAATTTTCTGAACGTTTCCTCACTTCCAGTCCAAGCTCACACAACAGGCTGCCCACGTGTCCCTTTCTCCAGGGCAGGTAGGGTCACAGTGCCCCTCCGTGGAACCCCTCATGGTTGCCCATTCTCCTTGGGGTACACTCCAGACTTTTCCTCTTCCCATTCACAACTTTCACCATGCGGCCTCTCTCAGGCACGCCCACGCTAGACATTTTAAATCCACTTCCTAAGGTCCCCACACATTAAAAGGCTCCTGAAGGCCAGGCTTACATGTTATTTATGCTCATGTTCCCATCTCCTAGGCTGAGGATCAAGCAACAGGTTCGGTTAATATCTACCAACTTAGTGACTGACAACTAGAAATCTAAGTCCTTTCTTCTAATTGGATAAAATATCTTGAAGAACATAGACATCCTCAGGAAAATGCTAAGCAGAACATAATGAAAAGATCTATTTTTATTGTTACTACACTTTTATATTGGGGGAGAGACAGTCCCAAGAAACTATAAATGGTCCAACTTTAAAAAAAAAAATTATTCCTGGCTGGCGTAGCTCAGTGGATTGAGTGCGGGCTGCGAACCAAAGTGTCGCAGGTTCGATTCCCAGTCAGGATACATATCTGGGTTGCAGGCCATGACCCCCAGCAACCGCACATTGATGTTTCTCTCTCTATCTTCCTCCCTTCCCTCTCTAAAAATAAATAAATAAAATCTTTAAAAATATTTATTGATTTTAGAGAGAGAGGAAGGAAGAGATGGAGAGAGAAACATCAACAGGAGAGAGATATCTATGGGTTGCCTCCCACGCCCACCCCAACCAGGAATTGAACCTGCAACCTTTTGGTGTATGGGATGACTCTCCAACTGACTGAGTCATACTGGCCAGGGCAATGGTCCATCTTTTTGATAGCCTGCCTTATGTAAGGCTTCCTACTTTCTGCCACACCTATGTTTTCTCACCCATGGCTCCTCAGAATATCTAGAACTACTTAGTTCTCCATGGTTAGCTCTCTTGCACCTTAGGGGCCAAACACCCAAGCCCCACCTTTGGTTTTACAGTAAGATCAGGATGGATGGCATCTGAGGACAATCCAGCCATTGCAATTGCACCAGAAGTTGCAATTGCAACTTCTCACTGGCACCAAATCTGTGTTGATAGACAAAATGTAGAGAGAAATAACTTTCGACACTGACGGAAACCAAGATGGCATTCTAACATTTCAGATTCCTCAGTCTTCAAAATACAGTGATGGTATAGCCACTTTCATTGATTTATTTAATCAAGAGGAAAAGAAATTGAAAGTTTTTTTAAGTGAAGACAAAAAGGGGGCATTTATCAAATCTGCATAAAACATTATATGACACTGATGAAATGAAACCTTCAACTGAGGGGAGTCAAATGAAATGGTTTATATACAAAACTAGAAATATTGAGAAATGTTTTAAAAATGGAAACATTATGGCATTTCTTAAGTAAGCATATGCCGTTATGACTTATCTTTGTATTTTATGGAATCTTAAATATGTAGTAGCACCTTAGGATTGGTGCAACATAGCAACTTTTATTGTTTTCTTAGAAAACTGGGTTTTTTTAATCAAACAAAAGCTGTAGGGAAAGGAGAGGGGAGGAGAAAGGATCTAATCAAATGTGACTTGTCCCTAGACTTGGCCACAGCAGAAACCTGGGAAGACTCTGTTTTTGTTGTTTCTAATGCCGGGCTTTCTCCTAGGAACAAAACACAGACACCTCCCAGACCCGGACGGCCCGTCGCTCCGGCACAGTCCATCCTGTGCAGTGGTGCTCTGAACCTCAAATAGACCCAACTCTTTGCTTCCACGGACGTTTGCCCTTGTTTATTCCTCCCTGGTCGTGTTCCCTTCAGATCTTCACAGTCCAACTCATTCTAATCATCCTATCTCAGCATAAGTGCCGTCTCCTCGGGGAGACCACCTGAGACCACCCCAGGCACAAGTGGGTCCCTCAGGCACTGTTTGAACCCCTCCCTTCTTCCCCATGCTCTCCAGGTGGAGAGGAACCTAGGCGTCCCCTAGGTTCCTGCTCATGTCAGGACCAGAGCCAGCACTCTGGTTCATGGAACTCACGTCCCCTCTTCTAGAATCTGTGTCAAGTTTATGGTTTAAGAAATTGTTTTTCAAAGGAAGGCAGTTGGTATGGAAAAATCTGGTGTAAGATGAAAGCCCCAATGGGGGATTAACATTTATGCAGAGGCACCAGATAAGAAGAGGAAACTTTGTGGAAAATTTGAGGAAAAGCACAACTGACAACACCTTTAAATAAGTGGCCGCCCAATTTGTTCCTTTGTGATGCGATGTCCTTTGATTAAAATGAGCCAGTTCAATGAGCACGCTTCAGGGCCTGGTGGTCTTGTGATTCCTGATCGCCACTATCCATCTCTTGTAGAAGTAAGGCCCAGGCCATCAGTGAGCAGCCTACAAGGGGGTGGTTGTGTTTGGAGTTATGTGGGTGCCGACCGGGGTTACAGCACTCACTTTTCTCACGCGCATTGACTGTGCGCTGAACAGGTGCTCTGTCTTGATGTTCCTGTCAGTCTTTGTCTACCTGAAGCTTCTAGCCCAGAACAATTGCAACAAAGGGTCCCATTCCGGAAGCCATGTTATTACACAAAGCAAGACAAATGTACAGTTATAGATGATATGACATTAGAGCCCTGGCTGGTGTAGCTCAGTGGCTTGAGAGTTGGCCTGTGAACCAAAGGGTCGCTGGTGGGATTCCCAGTTAGAGCACATGTCTGGGTTGCAGGCCAGGTCCCCAGTAGAGGGCGTGCATGATATTAGAAAAAAAAAACAAAACAAAACACGAGGCTTTTAACACAGGGGGAAAAAATCATGTGAAAGGTCTCAATGATGAAGCCAAGGTTTAGTGTCTGGATACGCAAAGAATGGTGGTGCCCCAGACGGAGAAGCACATAGTACGAAATCCTAGGTGCCCTCTGAGAGGAGGTGAGCTGGTCTGTTCTAAGCATTCAGAGTAGGAGTGGTGATTGACAGCTGAGTGGAAACGGGCGTGAAATGACCATCTGAGCAGGGCTGGAGCTGGGGATGTGTGGGGGCTGTGATACAATTTAAAAAAAGGGAAGCATTGTTAAGCACAGAACCTAGAAGCATGGTATCTGCAACTTTGAACAGAAGCTAAAAAAAATGTCTGCTGTCAGCATTATTAGCATATAATTCCGTTGTAAATACTCACTAGATGAGAGGGGAAATGCAAGCTAAACGTACGGGAGGGGGAGAGGCTGCGTGAGCAAGGAGGTCGGCCGAGGGGCGAACTAGAGCGACGCGATGCTCACACAACAGGTATCGGAAGACTCGCTGTTAAGGGCGGATAAGAGAAGCAGGGCGAATTTCATTGGCGGAATGAGACAGAAATAACGTGTCTGGCAATGATCTGCTCACCTTCCTGACGCCTACGGCAGAACACCTGGCCACCAGGTGACATCAAGGACCAGGGCAGAGGGAGGCGAGGCAAAGTGTGCTCAGCTCCACGGGCTGCAGCGTGTTCTGTGTAGATGGACAGGTCCTCTTCTCCACCCGCCGAGGGGTCCCCCTCCCACCGGCGCTCACAGCACACACCTCCCAAGTTCTGTGCTAAAGACCACATTTTCTGCGAGAAAGTGGAACTAGGGCAGTCTGAGGAAATTGAAAGGGCAAAACTATCACGCAGGAAAACTGTAAGTTCTGATTAGTTTTATGACTTTGCTTCAAGCCCCGGGAGCTCCATTGATCACGGCTTCCAGGACGGCTTGGGGAGGGGGGGAGGGGAAAGCGCCTCCCCAAATTCCCACGACTCTCCTTCAGCGCCGAGCTTTCAGACGCAAACACCTCGCTGAGAAACGTGCGGGCTGCGGCCCCTCCTACTGTCCCTAGCTCCTCCGAGTTTTCCTGCGAAGGACTCCATCTGTACGGATTCGCCTGGAGGGCGCTGGAGGGGGGGTGGGGGGCCGCGCGTGTGCACGCGCGCGTGTGTGCACGCGTAGCGGGCGGAGCGGATACCTTTCCTACAGCCCTCTCAGGGTCTCCGGTAGGTGCCCAAGTCTCGGTGGCTCCCCGGCTGGTCGCGCTCGGCGCCGACTGTAGGCGGCTGCCACGGAGAACCTTCACGGGCTCAGCTCCCTCCAGCCCCCGCGTCCTGCTTCCCGGGCCCGGACGCGCGCTCCCGTTGCTCCGGACCTGGTGTCCTAGTCGCGCAGGGGAGCTGGCGTGATCCCTCGTAGCAAGCGAAGGCGGCCAGCCCCGGGAGCCGGCAGCCGGGACAGGGGCCCAGCGCCCCACTCCCCACACCCCACGGAGAAGGCTGTGATTGGAGCAGACGCCCGCATCCGACCGGGCACAGCCGGTGCCCGGCCGGCACCGCCAGTCTGTCCGGCGCGCGGAGCTGCGCGCACTGGGTCCCGGAGCGCCCGCGGGCGCCCCGCCGCTGAGCGCGCGCCCTTTCGGATGCCCACGCCTGGGTGGCCGGCCCCGGACGACGCGGGGAGGGCAGTAAGGCCCCAGGTAAGTGTGACTGTCTGCGGGGGGCTGGGACGGCGCTGCTGGGCAGAAGCGCGTTGTGCGCATTTGGAAGCTGGACTCAGCATCGAGAGGGAAGCGTGCTGGAGGATCGCGCGGAGTTTCCCTGGTGTCCTCAAGTTACTGCTGTGTGGCCGCGGGACTTGCGCAGCCAGGCAGCACGGGTGTGTGAACCCAGCCGAGGGTGCTCGGCCGGCGAGCGGGTGCTGGGCGACACCAAGTGCGACAGGAGTTCACGAGGTCAGGGCGAGCGCAGACCCCAGCGCGCTCCAGATGAAGCAGTAAACACGGTCTGGACCACTCTCTTCCAAGAGGAGCACTGGTGGGTCCGCCTTGACCTGGGTTGGATGGGATCTAAAGTCTGCGCCGGCGGGGCCGCGAGGCTCTGCAGAAGCGGTCTGAGACTGGAAGGGGGTGTGCGTCTGCGTGGGCGGGGGTCCTTCTGCCACCTTCGCTAGACTTCTCTTACCATCTGCGAAGGTGGAACGCATCTAAGGGTGCTTTGCTGTCGCTGTAATTAGTATTCTGCTGCTACCGTGCGCCCGCAGGGCGTCCGGCTTCCTCTCCGCTGCTGCTCCTTGGGGGTGCGCTGGGGGATAGGGCTGCTGGGAATGCAAGGTGGACTTCCTAGTGGGTGCACCTGGTACACGAGGCTGCTTGCTGGTACTCGACCTCCCTACGTGGATGAATGCAAAAGGGCCTGCTGACTGTATTGACCGCACGTTTTAGATTGCTCACCTTAAGGATTCCGTAGATACCATTTTGGTGAGTCAAGATTGGCAAGGAGTTCACCCAGCTGTGGGCAAATGGGGACCTGTTAAGAGAGCATCGACGGTTGGGTGTCTCAAAGCTCTGGAGTCCTGCAGATTGGAGCTTGAGCATACTGAAAACACCTTTTATTTTGCAAGAAATGTCTTGTCTCTATTAGATCATTTATTAAATGAGGTCTTTAAATTAGATGCACCTGTCATTTTCCCTGGAAACAGACAGATGTTCAGATCAGTTTTAATGTAGAAGTACGTAAACAGAACTTTAGGGGGAAACAGAGAAATGTAAATAACGTGAGACTACTTGGCTCTTGCTAAGTGACAGGTTTGCCTTTTAATGATCAAGTTAACATCACACACACACACACACGTGTGCACGCGCACAAAACTGTGTATTTTAAAAGAGTTTAGGGGCAGTAGCAGGCCTATCCCCCCCTTTTTTGAAGGAAAGTTTTCTCTGCTATACTTATGAAGACAGGTTATTGGGAGCGGGGCAGGGGAACCAAGGAAGAAAGTAATTTACATTGCAAGCTTTCAGTAACTCTCCAAAAATGTCTTCTTTCTCAAAGAACTAGTTAGACTTTATGTTTACTCAAGCTCTTTTCTTGTTACGTATCTAAAGGGGAAATGCATGAAGAATGCTCTTCCTTCTTTTTAGGGCTACTTGGAACAGAGTGAATTAAAATTGAAAAGAAATGAGGCAGGCAGTCAAACGGGCAACTCTGAGGAAATCTTACTCATGGGTGAGTGTGTTCATTAAGGACTGGAGTGTCAGAAGCAATTAGGTGGCATCCAACAATAATCATCCTATCTGGTGAAGCTAGTTCGAAGTCTGTGGAAAGAAAAATAAAGGGAACACTAATCAGTAGGGCAGAACCGTACCCTGCTCAAAAGTACTAAGGTCTGCAGCTTTAATAAAAGGGCATCGTACGCAATGGGAGATATTGTTGTAATTAAGGCTGTGGTGGGTCTTCAGTACGGTGTGAACGATCAGCTGACCGACTCACGACTCTCCTTAAGTCTCCTGTTATTGATTTCATACCACAGAGCTTTCCCCTTCGTGATGAAAGCGTAAGTGTAGAGCGTCTGTAGGGCTGCAGTGTACCCTTGAACTCACTCTGGGTTTTCATGTCCAGTGCAGAAGAGAGGATGGGGAGCGTGCCGAGCTGGCCGCCTCTCAGCCTTCCTGGGTCTAAAAATCCACCCCTCCGTCTCCTCACACGCGGTGTCTTTGCTGGTCTCCCTGGCAGTCAGGCTCATGAGGATGTTTGCTTGTTTGTTTTGAGGGCAAAGCTGAGAGCAACTTCTCAGCATGTAGACTGCTGTGAGGAAGTGTGCCCAAATACTTTTGGTCTCATATATATATATTTTTTAGAAATCTTTTCTAAAGTACTGAGCCCATGAATTGCTGCGTGTTGTGAATACGTGTGCCTGAGTGGTCGTCACCTCCCTGGATTTTCTGCAAGGTTTTGCATGTATTGCATTGCCAGTTTGCATCACATCATGGTTCTCTCTCACACACAGGGAAAGGGTTTTACTTGCTTGGAAGGCTGGAAAAAGTCTCCGCTTAAATCCGGAGCTGCAGAAACTTCTGAAATGACTCACACTCGCGTTAGCTGATGGCAAAGTGACTCCCTGGTGTGAGGGAATCAGCTGCTTTTGAATGGGGTGCAGCGGGGGAGCTGAGGACAAGGGAGGAGGACATGTGACCAGAGTCCTGCGTGTGACCGGCCGAGCCTCTGACGGCGGGCAGAGCCGGTCTGGCTGGAACCAGCAGTCCTCGAGTGCCTCCTCTGGGGATCTGTGGGCTCTGCAGACAGGTACCCAGGCCAGCCCAGATCCCCCTGGTCCTTCCGCAGGAATCCTCCCTGACAGACGATCTGTGCAAATGAGCATGCAGGCATCTGTCCGTGTGTGCTCATTTCGGATTGTATAGTATAGACTTGCATTCTGGTAGAATTTCCTTTTGGCTTTATTGACGCATGGTGCCTTTCATCGAAGTCACATAAATCATACCTGGCGCAACGTAAATGCGAAGGTAAATTAAAAATTAACATTGATACAGCTCAGGTACGTTGTCGACGCATAAAGGAAAACCTTTGAACTATAATTTTGCTACTTGGTTATTATGTAAATAGCTCAGAAGGACTATGCTTTGTCATGTTGGTTTCTTTTTAATTCATACAGGCTGCTTCCATCAATAGTGAACTGTAAACTATTTTTCCTCTTTCTTTTTCATTCCTCTCACTCACCACACAGGTTATGTGCACTTAGTGGAAACTGACTCTGTGATGCACTTGCAGAAGTTTTCACGCCGTGCCTGAGAATGCCGGGCACACGGCGGGCTGTGTGATTCATTCCCAGGACCCCTGCCCAACTGTTTAGGCCGGTTCATGGCAGGAGGCTGCGGTCTGTGGCTGCGATGTTCTCTGACCCAGGGAGCTAATGGATTGGATCACAGTCTCTTTATGGGAGAAGTCACATATCACAGAGGGCCCCAGCTTTGCTAATTAAAATGTACACACACATACACACACAGTAAACACACACACACACACACACACACACATACCTTTTATATACAAAAGAAGAGGGCTGTTTCATAACATTAAAATTATTGAAGTTCATGCTAAACTTTTAATGGTATACAGATGAAACAATTTTAACGGTAGTATATTTCTACAACAGAAGCTGCAGATGGCAATATTAAATCTGGAATGATTATAATGGATACATTAGGAGCAGACAGTCATCTGCAAATACAAGATTTTCAGCAATGACCAATAGTCATATAAATACATGCTTATATTCTGAGATATTTTCCCGAGTTAGTACCCTCTTTCGAAAATGTTCCATGGGCCATTGTTCAAATTTCAGTGGAAACAGTTTACTGTTCTTGTGCCACAGTATAGCAGGAAATTACTTTTTGATCACTGGGCCTGTTTTGAAGTGGGGGAGTCATTGTAAAGTTGGGCACTGCTCACCCCCTTTTTATGTTATATGTAGACTTAAACTCCTAAAGAACATAGCTTTTCACCCTCTTCTTATTCTGCACCCCCACACCCGGCCCTCCTGGATCGAAATCCTGATAATTTCCAACTTTGAAAATTCAAACTCAGGGTCCCATAACAATGTCAATGAGGTCAACTCTGCTTTTCTTGGCTTTGGGAGAAGATGGTAAATTCCATAGACATATAAAAAGCACTTCATTCTCAGAGTGAGAACCATTTGACAGACACTTGAAACTGTCCATTGCATCCAGTCGGGCGCTGCCCCACCAGTGATTGGCTTTGCGACCTCCCGTGTTTCCCTAGGATGCTGCAGGTTTTGGTCTGTCCTTACTGAAGAGGACAAGACTGCCTTGGGTGTTTCTAACGTGTGTTCCGGTCCATCTCTGCTGTTCACCTGTGGTTCTGCCACGTGAGGGCTCTTCCGTCACGGGGAGCTTTGCCTTTGGGATCTTCTTTGTGGTTTTCCTCTGACACGCACCGTCAGGAGAACCAAACAATTACACTCTTCAATGCTGAGTGACATCTCCATCCCGCAGGTACTGCTGTTAGTAACTCGGCTCATGGATGGTGGTTGGAAACAGCATGGCCACAGCTTGTAAAACAAACCTTGTCCTGGGCTACGTTCCCTCGCTTGGGGGTCGTGGTTCTCCACTCCCTCACAAATGAGAGCACCTGAGAACAGAGCTTCTGCCCTTTCTGCATTTCCCCAAACACGTGCATGTTCAGTGGATCTGCTGGAGACCTAAGTAAAAGTAACAACAGACACTGTCCTTGTTACAGAACAGCGCTCTGACTTCCCGGGCAGAGAGACAAATCACAGTCAGGACGTCACTGGTGATGGGTGGCGACTGGCCTGGGGAAAGCAAGGGCAAGAGCAGGTCTTTAAAGGAGACCTTGGATGACTCAGGAGGCAGTCTTGACATTGACTTTAAATAACGCCATTGAACACCTAAGGAATGTCCAAAAGAGAAGGGGCCTCGCTTCCCTTGCCAGACATGAGAACTAGTGAGTGGGGGCTGTTCTAAAGCGACAGTGGATCTTTGGGGTGCCCTCTGGCCCCGGCTGCGAGTGGTGTCGTTCCCACTTCTAAGAATGTCTGTTGTTCACCCTTCCTAAGGACTCATTAGCAATGCGTTACTTTTCAACGTGCAGTCCAGCGTGAAGGCAGTCGGGGAAATGGCAGTTTCCTCCCGGTAGGGAAGAGCAG